TAGAGACCTTCTTTAGTACAGGCCATGCTAAGCAAAACATCTTGCTCAACAGGGACCAACAAACACACGTCTCAACAGCCAAGCAAGTGGATCTTAGAGACACACCAATGTGGTTTCTGCCAAGTAATGTACATCCTTATGTTGTTTTTTCCAGCATTAAATTTCAGGTAAAAATGAGGTTTTCTAACCTGATAAGTAAATAAATTTAATTTATACAGCACTTTTCACAGACAAAATCACAAAGTGCTTTACAGAAATACAGATACAAGCTTAAAAGAAAACAAAACAATAAGAACAGCTGACGAATAAGTACTTGATATGTACACAATACATACCAATTAAATATTTAAACGTCATGCAGAGGTATTCTTCATGCATCTTTTTTTCTCCTCTAAAGGCTTTAAAATGCTTTCCAGAAGCAGCAAACAAAAACAGTTTTAATTTTTAAAAAGTTCCTATTATAACTCCCTGTGTTGATAATCAATAATATCTTATCTGAAACTCCTACAGCAAACAACACTTTTAGGGAGGGTCAACACTAAATTTAGGGAATGACAGGCATGATGGATGATTTAAAAAAAAAAAGGAAACTCATCAGTGACGTCTATATGTTCATGTATAGAAGCAACAACATGCAATTTCAGTTTCACATCAACACTGCAACTAAATAAAACTGATTCTTCATATACAGAGAGTTATGCCAGTAAAGCCAGCCGCTTTCAATAGATGTAATTTTCATCTTAATATAAAATGATGGCTTCAATTTTGAAGAAGAGGAAGAATATTTTAGAAGAGCGGGAAGTGACAGTGATGTGACAAAAAAAACTGCTATTTTCTTGTTTATCATTTCCATGCATCTCTTTGAATATATTCCACATGTGGGTGGTGAATAGACTGACATGACGAGGTTATTTGGGATTTGATCAAGTGAGAGAACAATAGAGTTATCACACTCTGACAGTTGTTGCTGTCACTTCAATATCAGCAAATTCACACAAAAAATAGAAACATTTCCAGTTTGGTCCAGATGACATGTTGCAAACTGATTAAACTTCAGGCAGTAGGAAGGCGTTCGCCAATCTCGTTGTTTTGAAGACACACGAGCGCCCATGCAGAAACATGGTCATGCTTTGGGATGAATCTGGTTAAACAACCAGTTTGTTGAGACTGGACTCCTTGTTTGGAACAAAAAGGAAGTCATACATCCATCAATCCATCCACCAATCCATCCATCCTTATGTTCTGAAGTTGGGTTGCCAGGAAAGCAGCTTGAGTAGAGTCCCAGACATCCCTTTCCACAGCCACCTCTTCCAGATTTGATCTCAGACTTCAAGGTTTCAAAGTGGTCCCAAGCCAGCCAAGGGGGCATGAAGCTAACATGGCATTCTTACCAGATGCCTGAACCACCTCAACTCACTCTTCTTGATGTGGAGGAGCAGTGGCTCTACTCCGAGTCACTCTCGGATAACTGAATTTCACACCCTATTTTTAAAGAGAGTCCAGCCACCTTTTGGAAAAAAAAAATATAATTTCAACCACCTGGATCTGTGCAAACATCCACTCCCATAATCACAGAGCACCCCCCATAGGGTACTTCTAGGGAACATGGTCAAACGTCTTTTTTTTTAAGTCTACAAAACAAATGTCGGCTGGCAAATTCACATGCCCCCTCACACTGTACACATGAAGGCACAAAACCATCCACTTGACTCGTCATTAGCTAAACGCAACATAAAGACAGTACTTGGCTGCCATTGTTGGAGACAAGTTCAGCATTTGGGAGGGGGTCTCCAGATTGTCTCACAAAGTTTCAAGTGGAAGTGGAAAAAAAACATTCACTGTATCTGGGGTGAACATCCCATTAAGTTCACCTCAAGGTCAGAATGTGTAATATTCAGGTGTATAAAACCGCACAGGCCTCAGTCAGCATGGTAAATAGCAGTGTTCCTGCACCATTAAGAAATATGTTAAAAGATACTATTGGGTAAAAGTACTATTACTCTATTATATAAAAGTACCATTAGAAAAAGACTAAACTTTCAAGGCTTGTTTAGGACTCTCCTGTTAAATATATTAGCACAGTTTAAGTTTGCAATCATTCATCCGAACAAACCACATGAATTCTGAAACAATGACATCAAAGTACCAAAGATGTCCGTCGATGACACGCAGCACAATGTTTGTAGAACTCCAAACACATCAGCACAAACAGCTCACGTCAACCATCAGGCCGGTGGTGGAAGGTTGATGAGTGGACTTGTTTTGTAGTCCCAAGCCCGTGCCCGTCATTGATCAATGAACTTTCAAGCAGCAGAAAAATAAAAATAACTCAACAAAACGAACGCAAAAGAAAAGAATCAAGGTGTTGAGAGACTTCAAGTTTTCGCCATAACAAGGTGTTTCTACAAACTACTGAACCATGACGCTTACTTGGATTGAACACCCTGACTGCATTTTGGCTTAGCATCAATGAAATAAATAACAGTTTAATACAGCATGTGTTCATCTGTATTTAGCTAATGTTAGATCCTGTTATAGACCCGAGGATGGGTTTTTTTTGTAATTAAGCTTCATTTTGATTAATCTTACAACAGATTGAGGTTGTTCTTACACGATAGAATTACAGTTTGTGTGCGAGTCTGATAGCTGAGATGATAGTAACACGGCTCTGGAAGGCCCAAATTAAACACTAAGGCACAAAGTAGACAAGCGCACGCACACACATGTGCCCAGCAACTTCCAATGACTCCAGTACGTTGACGTACAAGCCTCACCATTTATCTAAAGGACAGATGTTTGTTTGAATATGCGCTACATTTAGCCCTCTGGAGAATTTTACTCCGTGGTGCCTAAATGTGCAAAAACTAAATCAAATGAGTTACGGAGCAAGTTAGACTGACGTCTTCCCACCTAAAAATGTTGTCAGTAAAATAGTGTTTACATTGGAATATTAGCCACAAAAGTAATTCAAACAGTTAAATATTTTCATTTCTTTATTTCAAATGTATATCACTTTATGTAGAAACAATGTATACCACATACATTTTAGCTTATTACTACCTTGAAATACTTATACATACAAATTCATCCTGCTTGCACCATTAATACCATGTTGTTGTTGATTACTATTTTCTCTTTAGGACATTATAAGTATTATATTTACCTTTTCACTTTTCGGTACTTTATTTTTGTACCCTTACTGCATGCTTTAGTATTTCTTGTTCGTTTGTTCTTTGTTATTTAGAGAGTTAAATCGGTTCTTCTCATCCTGAGCACGTCATTGTACCGTTAACCTTGCATATGACAAATAAACACAACTTGATGTGTAAAAACAGAAGTAAATTCAGTTTCAGTTCAATTCAGTTAATTTATATAGCGCCAAATCACAACAAAGTTGTCTCAGGGCACTTTACAGTAACATTCACATACATAGAAAAGCCAATTAGTAAAGTTCTCTATCTAAGGAAGGAGTAATGTAACAAGATAAAACATCATGGATATTCTGTTTATTATTTTTTATGCATTTAATGACAACGTTAGCATAATTGTGAGGACTTGTTAAAAAAAGTTCTGTTATAGTTTTTGGTTGTGCGCTCACCATGTGTGCAAGTGAATGAACCAAAGAGAAAGGAATTTAAAAGGCACCTATTGTGTGGTAATTTATGACCGCAATTAAAATAGTCATGTTTGTCAGTGTTGTTTGCATCATAATAAAGAAACGATTATGAGCCAATCCACACAGATTAAACAGTGCACTGTCAATAAAACTGTCATAAACACCGGCTGAATTCAGGTGAACTGTCTTTATGGTTGTAGCTCTATAAAACAAATAAACCCTCTTCTTTCCTTTACAGCCTCTAACCTCCTGCCAACGACATCATCATGAGGGGGCTTGTGCGTGTGGTATACACACAGATTCACACGCATGCTCGTCCCTCCTTTAAACAGGAAGTAGTCGTAGCGGCAAAGGTCAGAGGACACTTCTCAGAGGGCACATGAGGATGTTGTGGTGTATGCATCACTCGCCAGTGGGAACTCTTTTCTCACCAAACTGCCGGGAAAAGAGGCTCTCCACTCCTCTGGGCTTCCAAACGCACACAACCACCCCCGTACATGTGTGCACAAAAACATGCACTCCCACGCACACACACACACACACACACATCTGATCCATGATAAGCTCAGAATGAAACAGTCCAGCAATCCGCTGCATTGCACAGCAGCAATAAAATGAATCTGGACACTGGAACTGTCGAGTTTTGCATTATAAGGGATTTAATTCACAACGTTCCCACAGAGCAACGATTGCAGCGTCCAGTTCAGCAAAAGTGTCTCAAACATATCTGGCAAATGTCTCCAAAGCCCAAACAGAAACAGGAAAAGGATTTGTTTATGGCCAAGAGAGGTCCGCTCACAATCAGTTCATCAAAGGCTCGTGTTGACGCCAGATGTGAAGAAGAACTGAAAGAGACGTGCGGATCCTTCCAGGTCTTCTGACTGCTCAGACCAGACACTCTGAGCCACTTATGGTCACATCGATTTAGAAGTGTGGCCACAAATGTGCTTCTATCACCCTCTTGAGTGAGGTTAGTCACACTGGTGATGAGCAACCATCAATTTGACAAAGTCCAGGTCCAAGACAGACCTTGTGTCTGTCTGTGATATGCTTTGGTCAAATACAAACGAGAAACTAAATTCCTTTTCAAATTATTATTATTATTTGTCCATTGGCCATGGATGTTTAGTACTAATAACTGCTCATTGGCAAAACACTGAATTGCATGACAAGATCAAGACCAACTAATGATGGGGGGGCAGTTGTTTCAGAGTTTCTTGTATAAGTTTCATAAATCCTATAGACTTCTCTGTATCTGTCAAGTTCACGTATCCAAAAAGGGAAACACTGTTGCTTGTGCGAGCCAAGACACATTGGTGTTTACATTCAGGTTACAGTGCTGATGTCATCGCTTTGATTTCCGTTATGTAAAAAAATAAGTGCTCATAAATATCTGCTGTTAAGCAAAACGGAAGAGCAAAGTGGTCCCTTTTAAAGGCCCCTGTTTACATGAATGGGTCAGGTTGCAGGGATTTTAGAACTCGACTGGGGTGGGTCAGTTTGATCCGAGGATAAATGCAGAGAACAGGCAGGTTTCTGTAGCGTTGGTTGTGTGTTTATGGGTGGATACTGGCTTGCAAAACAAAACCCATTCAGAGCTCTGGCATTTGCATAAAATACAGTTACTTCATGCACGTTTGTGAGAATTTCTAACGTTTCATTAGTACAGTGTAAATACATGGAAATATCCAAATTATGTGGATGAATTTCTTAATATTGTGAGTTGTAACATTTAACTAGCTCCACCCAACAATCAGACCTAAAAAAGCTGCTTTCATTTTGCATCCAGCATAATTTGCAGCTACAAAACTTCCTTTAACCCTAGACTCAACGGAGCTTGTAATTCCTACAAAATAATTAGTGCTTTGCACCAGCGACCACATAATGATCACTTGCACAATGTTCAAAGCCTCTTTCACTGCTCACAAACTGGACTCGGGTGCAATTTTATCTCTGCAAAAACACTCAGTAAACTGAACTCTAACACTAAAAACTACCATGCAGGAAGGAAAATTGTACATACAATAAATTATAGGAAATAAATTGATTAATTTTTTTGTAACTCTCCCAAAAAAGAAAATAAAGGCAAAATAAAAAGCAATGCAGTCATCTTAGAAAAATTGAAACATCACTGTAATGCCACTTTAATTGGAGATTTGACACTTTATCCATGCTGCTGATTATTCATGCTGCTGATTATCCATGCTGCTTATTCTTGACATATTCATACCAATCGGCTCACAACAGACTCATGTTCAGGCTGCTGTTTAATACCGTATTACATTATTATTGTTTAGTGTATATCTTAGATCTTTATTTTTATTTTTGGCTGCTCTCTGCGTTAGGTGTCGCCACAGCGAACTAAGTCGCATGAAGACTTGGCAGTTATTTTTACGCCGGATGTCCTTCCTGACGCAACCACAGACCAACGAGCTACCACAGCCCTCAGAGTGGAGCAGAGAGCTGCCATCTAGGACACCCGGAGGAGCAGATGGTGGGGGTTAAGGACCTTGCTCAAGGGCCCAGAGTGGGACGAATGAGGGTGGGGGAAGGTGTGGGTGCTTCACCTACCCCACCCACATTTTGATGTTGTCGGCTTGAACTGGCGATCTTCCGATCACAGGCCCACCTTCTCTAACCTCTGCGCCACCACTCCCCCACTCTTAGATCCTTATATACCGTTTCTTTTTATACTTTATTTTATTTTTTGCTACTTTGGGATGTAACTGGGACCTTGAGTACCAATTTCATTCCACCTCATGTACCACATGTGATGTGAATGACAAAGTCACCTTGAAATAGAGCAGTCATTTCTAACCCGAACCCGGAGCCCAACCCGGATTAAGGCTGGGCCAGGCTATAATAATATGCTTAATGTTTGGGCCGGGCCGGTGTCATGCTTTTGATTGCGTCAGCGGACACACGCGGCTGACGATTCAATTATATGGCAACATGGCTGCATGTGGCCATTTGACTGCGCGCTGACTGGCCTTGAAAGAGGTAAAAAGAAAAGTTCAGTTAAGCTTCAGATGGGACTGGACTGCCAGGCAGTGATCCATCAAAGCCCAAATGGATGTTCATTCAGCTGCAGCACTCAGCAAACGCGCACGACCGACGACCCAAACAGGTGAGATCCCAAAATATCCGACATGTCAGAGCAGGGTCCATGTCTGAATAATGCAGCATGCAGACAGAAGCAGGGATTTAATGCACTTTGACGGCCATGAGAGGACAAAAACTCCCTCAGCTCCGATCTTCTTCCCCTTTAGCCGCGATCGTCCGCCGACCGTTAACAATTAAAAATGTCTGGGGGGGTGGGGGGGTTCAGGTTTGGACCTGTAATTACTGTTAATGTGTTGGGGTTCGGTAATGATGGCTACGCGTATGGGGCCGGGTCAGATCGGATTTTTTGGGCCTGAATGCAACTCTACCTTGAACCTTGATCTTGTCAGCAGTAAGTAATGATCTTTTGTTTTTAGGTTTTTAAAATTTTTATTTTTTTTAATTTTCATGAATAAATATAGCACGAGTGCAACACGTGTAACAATGCTGCTGCACGCGTTTTCCAGCTCCTCTGTAATAATAATTATTCATGCAGCTCAATAAATAAAAACTATTTACTTTGAACATTATCATAAACTTCAGTATCTAATTGTCCTTTTTTTAAAAGGCATAGTTAGTTTAGTTTATTATAAATTTGCTGCTCTGACTCATGAGTGGGATCACAGCAGCCTTTAGAACAACCAACTTTAAGATCAGGTTAGAGATGCTCCCATGGAGCCAGCTTTCATGAACACACCGTTTATTTCTCTTTAATGGCAGAAAAACAAACAGATCTGTTCGTATTAGGGCTGACAAACAGAAAACCCAACGATGATCCTCTGTCAACTCCCAACACACTGCAAACAAGAAGGAGCATCGATGTGTTTGGAAATGACCGTCCTTTCTCTGAACAGCAAACCAGAGTTTTTATTTGTAGCAGACTAGAAGTTTCCATCTTTAGCTCACATTACATACTTGCACACTTCAGAAATGAGAAAACATCTTACTATGGACTCGTCATCCCTAGCCTTGCTGCTGAAGTCTCCATCCAGGTTGTTCTCCTCACCAGGGACGGGCAGGTAGTCCTCGCTCCACCTCTTCATCGTGGCTTCCTCCTGCTGTGGGCTGTCTGTGTGCTCACGATGGGAGAAGGGTGGAGAACCTGGTGGAGAAACAAACAAGAAACTTCAATTTGGCTGACTATTAAATAGTTTTTAAATTATTTTCTAGACTGAATATTTGATAAAAAACATTTCAATAATCATATGAAAGTATTAAAATGTGCACGTATCAGAAACAAAGACAGTTAGTTCATCTCCATTTTCTCAATCAGAGCTCTGTGGGAACTAAAAGCTGATGGTCATGTTGTTTAGGTGACCCAGAGCTTCATTCTGAACATTAGTGATAGATGTAAAGAGAAAATACTTCTACTTGGTCAAAAGTTATTTTTAAATCACCTCCAGAATTTTTTTTAGGCTAAAAAATTCCAATCAAGTTTTTAGACCAGATTTTTGCAGCAACTCATCGTTTTCATTTGGTTTTGGATTCAAGCAGAACATACAGGAAGACTTTATTAAAGCACATGCACTGTTTTTAGTGTTTTTATATGTACATTTTATTGTCATTTTATTTGTCGTTTAGTCATCTGGCTAGACTGTAAAGTACTTTAGCAACCTTGATCGTTTAAGAATTAGACCTACGGACAAAATTAAAGTAGAAAAATCTATCAGAAAAATTATTTTCACTCCTAAAAACTAGATGAGCTCCTAAATCTGAATAGATCAAATGTTCCTGTTTGCATCGCTGACATAATGACTGCAGAGGGTCACCCCCTGAATGATGAAAACACGGCTATGGCACACTTCAAGCTTATACAAAAGGGTGCGCATACGTGGAAAAGATAAACCCCAGAGCAACTTCAATCTCTGCCACTGATTTATAAGAAGGCAGACTTTGATGACTTCTAGAGGAAGGTGATCAACCCCGTAAAAACACATTCCCCCAATAAAAAACGATTCTTTATCACAGACTAAATAACCTAAGGTCAATACACAGAGGAGAAACCAGTTGAGACGTATATTGCTGCCATTTTTGTCTGCACTGTTCTCCATGTTTGAGTGAACATGACTCAGGACATTCATGCATGTGTGCACACCTGTGTTCCATGGACATGCAACCAGCAGAGTACATAGATAAACCTGGTTATTTTCCTTATTTCAGCTTGTGAACCTTAACTGCAGACACTTGTTGTCCAATAGAGAAGTCTCAGTCGCTCAAACTACCTCTTCATAAAAACTGTGCTCCATCACAGCTGCTGGCTCATTCAGCATGACAGCACTCCCTGCCATGATGCAAAAATGGTTCAATAATGAGTTTATGGTGATGACTGCCTCCCACTTTCCAGATCCTGATCCAATAAAAAATCTGAGCCATTTCAGAAAAACAGCTCAAATTAATGGAGATTCCACCCTAACGTATTAGATGCTGGTTCCAGATACCACAACTGACCTTCGCCCATTGAAAAAAGTCTTTACCATGGAGGTTAATTGCCAATATAAAACATTGAAATGAAAATAATGTGATTCACTTTACCATCAAGATACGGCAAACCTCAAAGAACATTTAGCATCAGGACAACTAACAAATTATATATGACATTACTGCAGAGATTCCTTTTGTGCTCTTACAACCTGACATTTAAATGGATTTATTTTAATTGTAAGGAATGGACCTACACAAAGTTCTACAAATTAAGGTAATGGTGCATAAATCTTGTTTATGCTAATATTAAAAACTGGGCATTTGTTTTCACCCTTTTACTCTGAAGCCCCAACCATCCAACCATTACCCTCAGAAGCCTCAATTAGTTAAATAAGATCCCCTGTAGATAATTAAGTGTCAAGTGGTTTGGTTTTGTACACATGCCTGCTCTGAATCAACACCAGTGCAGCACATCTAAGTAGTTAAGGCTACCACCCAGCCAAAAAAAAAAAAAAAAACCCAAAAAACATGAAGACCAAGGAACTCATCACACAGGTCAGAGACAAAGTTGAACAGACCAGGGTTTGATTAGAAAACTGCTGATCCCAGAACTGTGGAAATGAAATAACCCAATCAAACTGAGCATCTCTGGGAAGATTTAAAGACTGAAGTAGCTTGAAGGAGCAGGAGCTATTTGGTCATCAGAAATGGGCTAAACTTATAGATGTGCCACAGCCTGGTTGAGTTTTGTCACATAAAGGTGTCACAGAGTGTGAAGAGAGCCTTTAAAACAAAATGAAGGGATGCAATTCATTAAAAGGCAAAGTTATTTTACAGCGATGGACTTGTGAGCTGTCCAGAGTGTAGCCTCCCTTCAAAGTGGAACAAACCAGTTATGTTGGTGCTAAGACGGTCTCTTTGTCACGCCCCCTCCTGGACTTTGCTGTTTTCAACCAGTTTGACACGACTGTCAACAAGGAAGAGGGCCGGCAATGGAGGAGGGGGCGTACCAAAGAGACCATCTTAGCACCAACATAACTGGTTTGTTCCACTTTGGAGTAAGCTGTTGGGGTAAGAATCAATTTTGTTGTGTGTTTCCTTGACTGATGAAGCCTTCCAGACCGAAGGCGAAACATTTCAGCACAAAAAAAAAAAACTGTCCAGATGACCTGACTGAAAAAATGTTGGATTGTATACCTGGATTATTGAGCATGGACTTTATTGTCACATGATATAATGGAGAGATTATCTACTACTTTATCTCTGGATGGTAAAGGAGAAAAATAAAAGAGAAACTATATTTCGACAGAGAATATAATATTCCATGTAAAGGAAGATATAAACTTATTAATGTAGACCAGCAGATTAAGTTATGTAGGAGATGATCGTTACCACACAGTCCAAAAGGGCTAGTAAATGTTTCTAAATCTATTTAACAGTGCATCAGAATGCAGTGCATGACTAAAGCAAGTTGTAAGAGTACTCTTTTAAAATACACTCATAGTCATTTTATTCCTTTTGTCTGCCAGAGCCTGAAGCGTCTAGAAATCCCATTAAACAAAATGTGTGGCAGAACCAAAAATGAGCTTCAGTCCACCACAGGTCGCAGGGAGGTCGCACCAGTCCCCACAGCCAGTCTAGAACCAATTTATCAATTGGGCATTGCTTTTTGGACAGTGGGAGGAAATATGAGCAACCAGATGGGAAACAAAAAAAATGGTGTTTTATTCAAATGGGAATTTTTCTATTTTTTTACCGTGATTTTAACATTAACTTGCTGCACGTGTGAGAAGTTTAAATGCACATGCATGTTTGATCCCTGTCTAAAATGTTAAATCTACCCTGCCATAACCCAAGCTGATCCTTTTTCCAGCCGTTTACACTTGTATAGCGATGTTGTTACAAATCTGTCCAATCAGAGGAGATTAGTCAGAAGAAGCATGTGAAGACATGACGCATCGAACATGCAAATGCCTCCAAACATTATTTTCTTGTTGCCTTGCGAACTAGCACTCGAAACAAACAGCAAAAACAGGAGCTGAACTACTTTCTTAAAAATATCTTTGACTCGCAGAAGTCTGAAAGTTGTAGCATCAAAACCAAAACACATTCTGCGTCAGAAAATGTACATTTAAAATTGCCACTTCGGCATGGCAGTCCAAAATCATCTACATAATACAACATCTATATAAACAATGTTCAAATCGTTAATTGTAAATCCCATTTCAAACTGGATTAAAATCATATAGGGCAGGGGTGTCAAACCCACTTACAAAAGGGGGCCAAAATTAAAAACTTTTTCAAACTAAGGGCCAATTTTAGAATCTACATGAACTCAAACCAGATACCAAACATCTTTTCTTGGTCACAGGTTCCTCAACAAGAGTTTGATTGGTCTCATTTGATGTTCTCTGTTGTGCTTTCAACATCATAATCAAAGATTACTGAAAAAAATTCAAGAGATAGAAGTATTTTATGTTTCACATATAGTCTTGGGGGGCCAGATAAGATGTCCACGAGGGCAACATTTGGCCCCCGGGCCTCGAGTTTGACACATATGCTATAGGGTGTCCAGGACATATTAATGTAACTAGATCACAGCCATGTTAAAAACCTCTTTCAGCAAGTAGCCAATCAAGATGCTACATTTTTAGTACTTGCCAAATAGTACTAATAGCTCTCCTGTAACCCCATAAAGCTCTCAGCAGCACATTTTCATGAAGATAATACCACATAAGCCCATGACCACGCCATACCCGGGGCTCCATCCTGGCATGACTCTCACAGCCTGTCAGGATGAGGCTATTAAGAAGATCACAACGCAGTAGTCCAATGCTGAGGGCATGAGTAGATTTTAGCCAGGCACAAGACTACAATGGACAGTACTACATGTGATTTTACATTGGATGACGACCCACTGTGGTGTTAAAATACATCATTCAGAACATAGATGGTCTTTGAAGGGTTCTGGCAAGATTTAAGTTCCTATTGGGAACACAGTAGGCTCCCCATTATGTGTTAGAGCTACAGATCTACAATGGTTTTAAGCGTGCACAAAATGTCCGTAGTGAGTTTGAGAAGGTTTATTGTTCTGGTGGCAGAGTATTAATGATCTCGGCAAAGAATGGGAAATAATGGCGCCAGCAGCATATCCATGATGTGAGGCTACAGTTCAAAGTTCAAGGACACTTTGTTGTCATTCGCATCACATGTGAGGTGGAACGAAATTGTGTACTCAAGGTCCTAGTCACACCCAAAAATATCAATAATATAAAAGTATATTAAAAAAGAAATGGTATATAAGAATCTAAGATATACACAAAACAATAATAGTAATATACTATAAATAAGGTGAATTAAACAGCAGCCTGAACATGAGTCTGAGCAGATGGGTATGAATACAGCAGCTTATGGGTAAGAAATCAGCAGCATGGATAATAAGCAGCATGGCTAATCAGCAGCATGGCTAATCAGCAGCATAATCAGCAGCATGGATAATCAGTAGCATGGATAATCAGCTTCATAATAATCAGTTCCTGTAGTTCCTTGCACCTCTTGTTTCAGTTATTCTCTGTTCCAGGATTTTGGTTTTAGTTTTGCTGCCCTGCCAGTTCATTTATTTATTGAAGTAATTTCCACATGTATTTACATCCAGTGGTGGGCACAGTTCAGCAAATCCACTATAACAGCTAAACTTATTTGTTTAACGAATTAACCTTTTTGCTAACTTAGAGAACAGTTAATGGAATTAATTTCTGCTAAATTGTGTCTGCCAACTTTTAAGTCCACTAGCTTGTTCCTGTCTGTTGTGGGCGTGTCTTGAAGTGTTCGTTACGAACGCTATTGGTTTACTACGCGTGACAAGGCGTGACTGGGCGACACAGCTTCCACTGGAAGGAGACATGAGACACAGACTGAGTGACAGTCCTCTAAGCAGTTAGTTTAGCATTTGCTTTCGTGCATTTCGTTTTACCCATTTAGCGGTTTAGTATCATCAAAGCTAACCTTTTGGTTAGCTGTGCCCACCATTGGTTACTTCTACGATGTCTGCATTCTGGATTCTCTTGGCAAACCTCACAATTTAAATCTGGCTCAGAGTCTGCAAAAACAACACAAGTGGATGACAGATATAATAAACGGCCCACCTTACTTTGATCACTAGATAAAAATAATAAATAAAAACAACTTGCACCACCCTGGCATGTTCAGGATGCCGTAGCTCCACAAGTGTTGCGGACAAGAATGATGTCTCCCTTAAGATGAACTTGAACTCACTTCCAGTGCCATCAACGAGGTGTGCACAATGTGGCTTCTTGTGGAGCATCAACCAAGCAAACCTGTTGCCTAATGCAGCACAAAACTGTTATGGCTCATTTTTGTGGCACTTTGAAGCAAAGGCAAAAGCAAATGTCTTGTTCAGAGCAAAATGAGACATAAATGCTGTCAGTCCTGGAAAAAAACAAGGCGACTTGAGTGAAACCAGTGCTGCAAAACATGTCAAGTTGTGTCCAGCAGACCCAGTGCGAGCACTGCCGACTTCCCAAAAGACAACGGACGGAGGATCATCCTTCCACAATAACCCCCTCCACCCTCTGCATCTTCTGTGCCAGGTGGAAATCCAACGAGGGAGGTGTGTTACAGAAACCCTGTGTTTCAACATGTCCCATAATACGCATCATTTTTCCTTCAATTTATTTATGGTGTAGACCAGTAAACTGTTGCGTCCACAAATAGCTCTTAATGTTACTGTTGGGTATGAAACACCTCTAACCCTTTTTATTTCAACGTCACGGCAACTGTCGTGAGTGTAAAGCCACATATGAAGGAAATTATTCAAACAAATATGAGAAACTACAACAATCTACAGAGCAAGTTACAATGAAAATACAGTCAAATATTTATTGTCAAGTTAATCAGTCATGCCAGAAGCCAATGTGCCCATGGGCAAAGCAGAGCCACCATCAACTTAAAAAGTAAAACCTTGTGATCTGAGGACACAGGTGGTCCTTCAGGATCACAGACTTCAGCATCAGCATCAACAGGAGGACTTTAAGGACATCAGTCTTTACATGCACGTGCATCTACTGAATCCATGCAAAATCTGCAGATAAAGAAATCTCTTACTGCGCTCCGCTGGGCCATCGTGGGTCGAGCCCCCGACTGGTTCATTTTGTCGCTGCATTGGCTTTAAGGAGGACGCTGGGGGGTTACAGAGCCCCCCCACCACCAGATCTACAGAGCCGTGTCTCCCTGCAGCAGCATCTGCTCCTCACAGCCGCCTGCGCTGCTGTTGCGTGGAAACGCTGCTCGGACCGCGTCCCATCTTTCTCTGAGGAACTGTCGATTCTCTGCGCGAAACCATGCGTCCAAAAATACACATGCATGCGCGCGCGTGGGTTTCAACAGAGCCAGCCGCGTCTCTCCAGGAGGCGGTCCGTGGGGCTGCGAGGGTCGTCTGAGGGAATCGAGCACGGGATGCGAGCGCTTTATGTCAGAACGCCTCGGACGCGTGCGTGATGCGGGGCGGCTGCTCTGCGCGAAAATGGCACGAGGCGCAAAGACGAGGCGCAGAGATGCTCCGCGCAAATCGCGCACAACACGCGCTGCAAACGTGTTGCATTCAATTCCCACAGGAAAAAAATAAAATAAAAGAAATGGGGGGGGGGGGGGGGGTCTGTTTCCTGCCAACGTCTCATTTTATGTAAGCACCTGTCAAAATGTGAGCCTCCCATCAGAGAAGGAGGCCAAGATCGACTGAGTGGATTTAAAAATGACCAAACCCCATGTCAGGTCAAAAGGTACAAAAGTAACATTTTCTGGAATCAGACTCCCACATGTCACATCCATTCAAATAAAACAGGAAAACAACAAATATCAAAGATGACGTGACTAGCTGAAGCAATTCACCTCCCAGGGGATGAGTTTAGCTTCAAAAGACAAACATTGTAAAACAAGTCCTTTTTGATGTCGAGTGTGAACTTCTCACAGTTTGACCCCGAGAGCTCTGCTCTTGTAAAGATGTTTCAGAGGAGTTGGAAACACTGGCACATGGGACAACTGCAGCCAGGCCAACATGTGACAGCCTTCACAATAATCACACGGTTTACTGGATGTGCTCAAACACAAGTGTGTTACCTCTCCACCCACACTGTCTGGTGTTTTCACTCAGTGTGTTCATGCAACCAGGTCGGTTTTATTAATAAAGTTTAAAGGAAAAGTCAAAAACCTCTTCAACAGAGACAAATGTAAGCAGAAGGTTTTAGTTATCTAAAACCTTACCTGTTCAAAACAAAATAAAAAAATGGAGTCTTACTCGAAACTCAAATTCTAACAAAACGTTATACGATACATTTGTCTTGTTCGGCTTTATTGTAAAATCACAGATGGTGAGCAATGAGGACTCATAAAACAAAGTCACCAAGCAGGAAGTAGGCAAAGTAATGAAATTATAGAAAACATTAATAACCAAAAGGTGCTGCAGAGCAGGAAAGGCACACGATCACTTAAGGCACAACCACCACCGGGCAAAGAGAAGAGCAAAACGAGGGGCTTGAATGCAAATAATCAGGACCCAAGTGCAAAGTGAAGATCAAAACAGGAAGCAAAACGGATTGAAATGCAGAGAGGAAATAGTACTAAGGAAACAATTGTTGAAATAGAACTGACAAAACCCAAGAAAAACTCAACTAAAACCAAACTCCCCAACTTATTACTTATAACAGGGCTTGTTGGGGGTTCATTAAAACAGTTAAACATAAATAGAAGACTGGCTCCATGATGGAGAGATAGCAGTAGAAAGTGGATTTCTATAGCATTTGAACAGTAAAATCACCTGTTTTACTGCACATACCCATGCGTCACTGGCACACACCAAGGCACCTGACTTAGCCCTGAACTTTTTCTTTGCCAAACGTTAATGATTTATTCTAGAAAGGTATTAAAATTAATAATAGTGCACCATTTGTAAATTAAAAGTAGGCTGGTGTTTGTAAAACCCTTAATCCTATCCTCTGTATCGCTAATCTTTATTTATTTCACCAGGCATAAACACTAAGAGCAAATTCTTATTTACAGTGCTGGCCTGGCAGCACCAACAGGTAAATTAATTGTAGGGTCAAGGGAAGTAAGGCAAAACCAGGAAACATAAATTACATTAACAGTTCATTGTCAAAGTTAAACAACAACATTACTAAGCATGAAAACATTTGCAAACATATTTTAAAAAATGGCTTTTAAACAATTTTTTTAAATTAAAATCGAGACAAAAAATTAAAGAAGCAGATTCCAGGAGCAGCAGAGGCAAAACGGGACTTTGTTAACTACAAATACTGAGAGGATCGGGTGTTATACTTTGAAACAGGGAGTTAAATATGGAGGTGACAAACTCAACGTCTTATAAGTGAGGGTAAACCAATTAATCTCACTACGAGTGTGCAGAGGCCATTTAACCAGAGCGTAGCGGTGACAGTGATCTGTCAGGAGCATTTGTAACAAAGTGAACAGCAGAGTGATAAATTAATCTTATCTTCTGCCCCCCCCCCGGCTCTGACCTTACAGGTGGGGTTACAAAGTGGAAAAAAAATAACCACCACCCAACTTCTCCACACAGACCAGCTAACAGAGTGTTTGGTTTATCAAAGCACTTTGTGACTTGTATCTTGAGAAGTGCAAATAAAGTTTTGCTTGCTTTTATTTTGCGACTCAAATGTTATGCAAGATTATACAAAACAGGACGGGGTAGGGAGAGGACTGTAAAGCAGGCCTTTGGACGGCCATGCTGGTCCTTTCTGACATTAGAGCTCGAGCACTGAGTGCTAAAGTCTAAACATGAGAAATACTGGAGCTCTGTTTGGAGTAACTCGTTTCTTCAAAAGCTGAAGGAATTCCTACGGTCCTTGAACGCAGCATCATCTTCCAGCTGAATCGTACCCGGGCGCTTTTTTTTTTTTTTTTTTCTTTTTGGCGGGGCGTCACGAGCCGAACGCACAGCTGTAACCCCTGATGAGGAGGTTGGACACAAATAAGACCCGCTCTGGTGATTGTGGAGGCTGGCACCACCCTCAGGGCTGCTGCGCCCTCCTGTTGAACCAACAAAGACGGTTTACGCCTGCGACGCGTTACGAACAGGTTCCTGCAGTTGATCAGGACCCGTGGACCACCCACACCCATGGCACGTGAAACATCACTCAAACATTTGAGTACAAACCAGCACAATGTGCTGCGGGCCCCCTGCAGCAGCGCGTGGAGCAAAACAAATGCCCAAAGTGCGGCGCAGCTGCAGCTTCTCCTTCTGGGCTTCACTAAAGCAAAGAGAACGAGTCCGGACACGTTATTGATTCAAATCAGTAAAAAAATAATAATAATCTGAAACTCTAAACCAAATATCAAAAGAGAACATGTATAGAGCAAGTTTTAAAAGAAGGCAGGGGAATCTGAAAGTTACCTTACTGCACAGATCAAGCAGGTCAGTCTTCTCTCACCTGTACACACCTGTGCACACCTGTGCACAGACAGGGCGGAGGAGGAAGTACCGAGCAACTGGTTTCCTCAGGTAAAGACTCTCCTCCCACACAGCCAGAGCCCCAGGTGAACACCAAGACACTGGGAGTTGCGTATTATGAAGGCAGGAGGGGATAGAAGCTACAGAATGGCAGTTTTGGGGGGTTATTTTCTTAATATTAATAATAATATTAATTAAAAAACTAGAACAGGTGAAAACATGAAGTCTCTTCCTGATAGACACAGATTCCCTGACGGGCATGTGTGGGCTTGTAGGACTCCCAGGTAAGTTTCCAGATGGAGTTTTGTAAAGGGCTCAATCTTTTCACAGCAAATTATGTTACTGAAGCACACACTGTTTGTAGGAAGTTTAAAAAAAAAAAGATGTGAAAGTGAATAAGAGAGATTTTAATGTGTAAACATCAAGCGACTTTGTCTTTATAATATGAACATATTTACTATAAATGCTCCAGTGAGCACTCGTTAATCTTTGTGCACCAGATCCTCACTCAGACTGAAGACGAACGTTTTATTTGTATGTTTCTGTAGCTGGTCAGGGTCAAACAACACAAAGTTCTTCTGACTACGAGCAGAACTATTCCATTTCTTGTTTTTCTCCTGCGTTAGAATGTGCCACGAGCCCTCTGTTCATTTACATGTTGGTAACAAAACTGGAAGGAGCTCTCCAAATTCTCTCCCTTTAGATGTGAGAAGGAAAACAGAGCTAAATATGAAAAACACACGAATGTTCTTTAACCAAGATTTGAATGAAAAAAAAAAAAAAACTGTTTGGAGGAAATTTATTCTTGTTGTAAAGGTTTGATCAAATGTTTTGAATATGGGAGTTTCTCTCCAACAAAGGTAAATCTGTATGTCTTCTGAATTTATATTTCAAAGTTTTTTTTACCCTAAATGAAACTTTCATTGCCCTTAAAACTACAAATCATGGCTAGTTTTCAGCTCTCGGAGCGCTCAAATGTTCATTTTAGAGTTATTTCATTATACCAGCTTGCTCACTGGCCAAGCTTCTCACTTGACTGAGTTCCTATGTCCTCACAAAAGATGTGTTCTACCTGTATATTTTCATTTCATAATTTTGTCACAGAAGGTAGCTGTTGTCATCACTTCCTGTTACTGCACATGCAAATAACTCAACAAGGTCAAAGTCAAGGTCAAGGTTCATTATTGTCATTTGCATCACATGTGGTACATAAGGTGGAACGAAATTGTGCACACAGGGTCAGTTACATTTAACTAAAGTATAAATTGTAAAGTAAAACTGTAATAAAGATCAAAGATATGAACGCTAAACACTAATAGTACAAAAACAATACGTCGACAACAACAACAGCAGCACGAAGTAATATCACCAATCAAGTGGCATTATAGTGAGTTTTTTTCACAGTGATTATCCTGGTGAGTCTAACAGCTTCAGTGTAGAAGCTGTTCCTCAGTCTAGTGGTTCTACACTTAATGCTCCTCAACCTTCTGCCTGAGAGGAGTGGGACAAAAAATGTGTGTGCTGGGTGAGTGGGGTCCTTCATGATGCAGGTGGCTCTCTTCCTGCATCTGGAGGTGTAGTTGTCTGTGATGGTGGGGAGACTGACTCCAACATCTTCTGTGCAGCCTTCACCACTCTCTGCAAAGCTTTTCTTTCTGCAGCTGTGCAGCCTCCATGCCACACGTTGATGCTGGAGCACAGGATGCTCTCCACTGCACACCTGTAGAAGGAGGTGAGGACTGAGCTACGATGTAGGAGTCCTTCTGTTCCAGGTGGGTGAGAGCAGTGTGGACCACAGAGGAGATGCCGTCCTCTGTTGATTGATTCTTGCGGTATGCGTACTGGTGAGGGTCCTTGCCAATGTTGATGGTAGCTTTGATGTGGGTCATGACCAGTTTTTTGAAGCATTTAGTGGCTAAGTGAGGGCTACTGGCTGTTAGACATTCAGACCAGTCGCTGCAGAGCTTTTAGGAACTGGGACGATGGTGACAGTCTTCAGGCAGGTGGGAACTGTTGCCAGGGTGAGGGAGGGGTTAATGATGTCGACCAGCACTGACATTAGTGAACAACTGTTCATCAGCAGTATGAATTAGATTGGTTTTGCTAAGATTATTTAAGTAATT